CCATGCATAAGAAACAAAAAAACGTATATCATATGATATTGGCTCAAAGGGAGAGGGAAATCACGGGACATCTTTGGCGACCAGTGAAAAAAGAACACGCAAAAAAGTAAAACAGACTAAAGCAAGACCTACGTAGAGAAATGAGATAATGTGTTATTTTCGTAGTGTAGAAGACAGTATTGGTTAATTGTGTCATCATGTCGAAAGGATTAAGACATTTATTTATCTGTATATATACATATGTGTGTGTGTGTGTGTGCGCATGTATGTATGTGTTTTCAACCTTATTGAGAACGCCTTTCTTATTCCAGATTGCGCGGGAGTGTGAACCGCCGCCTCCTCGCATTCCTGGCCCTCACACAGACGACGCCGCTCTTCTTGTAAGTCTTCTCAGCTGCCGTACATGTTGTGGTTATTTCGTTGTGTAATTCACTATTTTAGAGTTCATTATGATACTGCACCGGAGCGGTTTCACAGTCGTTACAGTTATGTCTGTATTGAATTTGGTAGATTAAAACAAATCTTTTCTTCATAGCTTCGTTTATAGGTTAGTAATATTTATCCACATGATAGGATTTATACGTATGTATGATAGATGCATGTATACATTATTGTATTTTATGGCTTTGCGTGTAAGATCATGAAGCTGTGGATTTAATGCTTTTTAATATGATATGTGCATTCACATTTAATTGTAATCATTGCAGGCTTTGCCGTAGGGCGTGGCGATCCTTCGTGGCCGGGTGGGAGAAGAACCAGGTAGCAAAAAAACGCAAGGCGCTGAGGGCCAAGTACGCCCTTTGCAATGGAAAAAAATCTTCGTCGATGCAACTGCCCGAAATCACGGAGCAGCACACCTACAGCAGCTGCGTACCTCCGCAGTCAAAACCTGCCGCACCTCCCGTCAGCACCACTGACGATGGGACTCCAGCACCTGACGCAGTGGAGACTGGTAACCACCTGGTGCCCATCAAGGTGACTCCTACCAAGTTCCTGCCCAACACCAAAACCATCAAACTTTCCTTTGACGAACAGGAAGAGATCTACGCCGGAGAACGCAAACTTTACAAATTCGTCGCGAGGAACATCCAGTCACTCTACGCCGAGGAGAAGAGGCTGTCGTACCACATCATCGTGGACGCATCGCAGGCCGTCGTTCACGTCTCCAGGTCAGGCGTTTGTGCTGAAGAATTTCCTGACCGCACTGTGAAGAAGGACCCCCTTACACTGTGCAATGATACCCATTATATAGTAAACTTTGTGAAAGGGCTCGGCTATCAAACCATTGGGGTCACGAAGAGAACCAAGGATGAAGTGCAGAGCTTTACAGACGGGGACTTGAACAAACTCGTCTGGCTGCTGGTGTGGCCCTACGTCTTCCTCCTGATCTTCTCGGTTTTAGATCACAGGCAAAACTTTGTTCTATTTAGTAAGTATAGGGGAGAGAAAAGACATGTCGTAGACTTCACAAGTAATCGAATTTCTATCATAAGGGTAAAGATATAGCTTATTGTTGTTATTAACAATAGCCGTAGTTTTTACTCATTATTCCCGGCACAAAGTTATCAAAGTTTCGGGGTCTAGCTGCACATTTTTTTTCTATTTCAGGAGGAGAAATTGACATTGCTGTTGCGAGTCCTGTGCTGGGCGTGATCGTGTGGCTCGTGACGCAGCGAGGGCTCGACGACCCTTGGAGGAACACGCTGATTCTCATCCCGCTGCGGCTGTGCTTCACCGGTGAGGCTGAGAGGCTCTTCGCAGCGGTTGCTTCTTTCGTCTAATGTTCATAAGTGGGTTATATGGGCACGATTCTCTTAGGCTAAACGGAAGACAAAAACGTAGAATGCATGCACACCTATATATCTACATTTTATGTGCACACACACACACACACACACACACACACATATACATGTGTGTTGATACAATGATAGAAAAGTCCACAATGCACAAACGAGATTTACTGAAAATGAGCAACATTTTCGAAATCCTCCTGGACTTCATCTGCAAGCCTGCAGAGGAAAGGGATAAGAAGGAGTATAAATCAGAGCAGGGGTTTTAACCTTCAGGGGGTTTCAGGGGGTCCTTGAGGATCAGATAAATATAATATTTATATTAATATGTTTCTTTTTAGATTGCTTACGTTAAGGTTTGATCATTCTTTGTGTATCTCATATATAATGAGAAAATCTAATCTCAATAAATTAAGTACATTATACACAATGCATGCAAGTTCATAGCTTCCATCAGAACCTTAAAGTGGTCCGTGACTCCATAAAGGTTAAGAACCATTATGTTAGAGAGATAGAAGCAGTGCATTAAACGGCAGGTGAACGGACGCGAAAGATCAAGCGGTCTATGCGAAGGGTAGCTGGCTTATGGGACTAGGCGGAGGGTGTGGGAAGCGAGGAGATAGTTGGCAGGGGAAAAGCACTATTAGGTTGAAATTAGGCAGCTGCTTAGTCAAGGATTCCACAGTCTGCGGGCGTGGACCTCCGTGGAAGGAAAGACAAGTCGCTCAGCTGGCCAATTCATCTGATTGCCTGCTCACTAATAGCGGAAGAGGGCGTTGTTATTGTGTCCTTCATATGTTGAGACAGACTCTTAGTGGCTATGCTATTCATTGTGCCTGTTAGGCCAACCTTGCTTCGCTTCCGGTTACCTATACTTTTTTGCCCTGTATCTACCAAGGTCTGTTTAAATATATATATTCATATAGACATTGGTTGTTTTTCTTCTCTCTCACTTACGCTCCTTAGTCTCCCCTTCATCTGTAGACCTGAAAATGAAATCCAGGAGGATTTCGAAAATGTCTCATTTACAATAAAATTCGTATATGCATCATGTTTTTTTTTTTCCAGCACACACACACGCAAGTGTGTATGTATGTATGTATATATGCATGTATATATATATATATATATATATATATATATATATATATATATATATATATGTATACATATACACACATATGTATATGTATATGTATATATATACTTATATATATATATATATATATATATATATATATATATATATATATATATATATATGTGTATATGTGTATGTATATATACACATATTTATATATGTATATATATAAATATATGTATATATAGATATATGTGTATATATAAATATATGTATATATGTATATAAACATATATATATATACATATATGTGTGTATATATCTATATGTCTGTGTGTATGTATATATATGCATTTGTGGGTGTGTGCGTGTATGTGTGTGTGAGAAGGCCACGAGAGATGGACTTAAGGCGGATAATGAAAGTGGCCTTGGCTTTTGGCTTTATTCGCTACAAGGTGAATGGATGCAAGCTGGGCTCCTCCTGCCGTGGTATGGCGAAAGGTCCATCAAATGAGCCAGCCATAAAAAGCTAACACAGGCCGGGCCATAGCCGAAGGCCCGGGCGAAGCCAGAACTTCGCAAATCGCAATCGCCCCTTGGCTAAACCAAGCTCAGGAGTGGAAGGTGCAAAGTAGCTGCTTTCTGTGATAAGGTGTTCTCGGGAGGCAGCGGCGGGAAGGTGCAGCCTTTGTTCAGCCAGGGACAGATGTGTGGAGCACCATCTTCCGGATGTTGTTTATAGTGTGTGTGTGTGTGTTTGTATATATATATATATATATATATATATATATATATATATATATATATATATGTATATATATGTATGTATATATATATGTATATATATGTATATATATGTATATATGTTTATATATATATATATATATATATATATATATATATATATGTGTGTGTGTGTGTGTGTGTGTGTGTGTGTGTGTGTGTGTGTGTGTATATTATATCTTACAATACCAGTCTGTTTAACGCAATTAATTTAAGGGCATATTTATGGCGACTTCTTGAAGATTACTCCGCTTGAGAAGAAGCGAATTAAAGCGAGTTCTCTCCCCCACAGTGAGCAGAACCATCGTCGTGTGCGCCATCGGCACGACGTGGGCAGGCATCGGCGTCGCAGCCTTTGCCTACGTCTCCGCCAAGATCGTCGGGCTCCTCAGCATCGCAGCCCACATCACTTACGCCAAACTGAGGAAAAACATCGAGCTCTACAGCGACGCGATGGAAAAGTACACCTATAATCCCATGTACGAACCTGTCGTCCAGGTCGCGGAGAGTCTGGTGTACTGCTGCTGGGCGATTTGGTGGCATATGTACAGTCTTACTCCCGATTACATGGAGACTGGTATCTTGCTGATGGTCATCATTAGTCAGGTTGCTGGCTTAACCTGGCTGTGGTTCATGAGGGCCTTCCTGAAGGAGCCGCTGCAGGACCCAATGCAGGTGCTGCAGATTGTAAAGGACAGGGAGTTTAGCAGAACCGATTGAAAATGTTTTCTGAAAAGACTTGCCATCCCCTGTATGCCAGTTTTGCTACAAGCCAAAGTGGATTGTATATTTTATGATAGGTCTGTGTGATGACCAGTCTGCCTATCGTTGATTTCAAGACTGGCATGTTTCATCCATTAAAATGCGAATCTCTGTAAACTTCCATCTGGTGCACCGCCATGCAGCAGACGCGGCGTTCTACTTTATGGTCCTGATAGCTAGATATTTTCACTAAGTCTGTAAGTAAAGCCAATGAAGTAATGAATCTCACACATCCTACTAAATAATATTTATTCTCATATGACTCTCCGTTTTTCCTCTGTCATCTGCGCTTAATGGATGCTAGCTATAGCCGTGCTTTCAGTCATGAACTTGGCAACGGTCCAGCTTCCTTCACGTCGAGGTTCATATGAATCAAACCCATACTCTTTATGATTCAAGTTCCCATGTGATTATCATGCATAACATAGGGAGAGAGCCTTCATAGAGAGCCCGCATGAACGAGCGAGAAAGGCAGAACATGGACAGAGAGGAGGCGAGGAAAGGCATCTGCTGAGAGCGAGTGAATAGGAGAGGTCGAAGTGGAGGATTCAGACCTCAGACCTGGTTTCCAATGTGATATT